CTAATAATAATTATCAGGACGGCGACGTCGCGTAGTCTGTTATTATTAGTAAAGATGTCGCCAATACGTCATCATATACGCATGTGTTTTATGTTTCTATATCTTACAATAGTGTGTAACATAACAAATTTATGGTCAGTAGATCATATTTARCTCAGATCCGTTAGTTTAAAAATAAAAGTAAATTTGACCTCTCATAAAATTTAAAGGTTTTATCTATGTTCATATTTAGTAATTCTATATACTTTAATTTAGAGAAAGAGAAAAAGTTCTAGGCTGTGGAATTGTCATCGAAATCATAAACGTTATAACTTAGTTCAACTTGCCTTTGAAAATCGACATTGTGTACAATGCTCGACACTTCCTACTTTGCCCATAACATATATATAGATAGCGAGTCACCTATATTAATTTTAAAAAACCTCGCGGGCCGCATTCGTAACAAAACATGATCGTGGGTATTAATTTATTAAAAATGAGGTCCATGKMCATGGGCCTCAAATAACGCCAAAGCTGCAGTGGCTGTGGGTCAACGACCTCCAGATCTAAACAGCGTGATTAAACCACTGGCTTATTATATTTCATAAGTCGATATTTGAAATTAAACACTTATGATAACATGAAATGTTTTTAATATTACATGAACTTTTAAGGACCAAACTTGATCCCGCGGTTCTTTTTCAAAAGATTTTGAATAAACTGTTACAAAACCAATATGCAAAATCACAATATATTTGTTATATTGAAATGTTACTGGGTGTTTATTGCATTTTCGAAGAGTATTATTAAAAACAACTCAATGAATTAGATCTTTATCATTCWTCAGTATATCTCTTTTAAAGCATTTAAAATAAACCTATTATGCTATAAAATTATTATTTTGATTTTAAATTAGGCACAATAATATATATATATTTTAATATTTATTTAAGCCTCAACAACTAAAGTTATTGGCTAACATTAACATTAATAAAGATACATTGGTATACATTATATAAGGCTTTAAGGACAATATAATATTGCAGATATATGAGAATATATTTAGAAATATAACTATAATATATATATAT